TAATGAATCATGCGTATAAGTCCTAATGTGGAATGGCATTAGGTACTTGCTTGGAAGGGTGATACTATACTACCAAAACTGGAGTAGTGAGAGAAGCAGTGATACACAACTATAGGCTGTGGTAAAAGATCATGTTTTAACTAGAATTGAAAGCACCTCTGGTACCAGTGGAATAACTATAGAAGGCTACTCAGTATAGAGAATATAACCTACCTCTGTACATCTAAAGGTACTAATTTAGAGCTCTGGTCATACCTATATAGAAGTCTATGATGAAAAATAGTTAGGATTTACCAATATTAATGTGATATCAACTAAAAATAGCTAGCTAGAAGTGATTTAGCTTGCCACTTAAGTAATTTTATGGTGTTAGGCTGGTCTTTAACAAGATAGATCATTAAAGCAGAATTATGAAAATAGCCAATGGCTGGGAATGTGTAGCTTTGTAGTTGCTATGCAACTCAAGGGGTCCTTACGAACTATAGTCTTGACAAATACTATATAAAGAAGTACTTAGGAGGTATTAAGAAGTACACTGTATCAGATAATTTAGGAAACGTTAAGATCTGGGAACGGCAAACCAGGCGGCGGCAGCAGGGACCTGGCTTAAGATACAAGGCTAGTATACCTGGAGAGTCAATTAGGAGATTTGGGGTATTCATGTAACATAAGTTGCATAAAGGAATACAAGCTAGCAGAACTGAGCAATGCAAACCCATGATAAGTCCCCTTTCTAATATATGATATCCATGCTTCTCATATGGGACTAGCGACAGTAGCAGGTATCTGGCTTGAGAAATGTGGACGAGGGGCTATTTATTAGAAGGAGTATACCAGTTTAGAAAATATTTTGAATAACAGGCATACCAAATTGGGAGCCCATTAAGGACTGATTATCTGAATGAACCAATTTGGAAGTACAAAGGTTTGATAGTGAGACATGGGGTAAATATGATGGGTAACTAGATATAGTTTGAATATCAAATCTAGGTATAACCCAATATGTAGTGGGAATGTAGCATATTCTGGTAGATTTAGATCGTAGATAAAATTGTTTAAGCCAGTATTCTTAAGATTATATGTAGCTATATAAAGCAAAAACTTAACACATCTAATAAAGATATAAGGCAAGACCTCACCTTAATACCGAAAAAAATAAAATAAAAATAAATCATAAATAAGTCATATGAAAATTCACGTGACCTTTTAAATCTAACGATTTTTTCTATAGACAAGAAAAACTTCTATACAAGCTAGCTCATTAAATAGTATAATTATTAAATAAGTCTAATGAATTTTTTGTTCCAACTTTTTCTTAGTCAAGAATAGATTTTATATAAGCTAGCTTATCAAATAGTATATTAATCATAAAACTTTAATGGTCTAATAAAAATTTAGCAAATGCTAATTAGATATTGTACCCAAAATCTTGGCTAAAATTAAGCAATTTGCTATACTTATTCTGGCTGACATCTAGCACAATATTCCCCCTCTTCCAGTTTTATCAGATAGAAGCATTCCTTGCAAAGAGTGATATTAAGATTTGCAAGCCCAACTATTATTTCTTCATAAGTTCTTTCCTGTATCTCTGATCAAAGTCTATTATAGTATTAGATAATATAATAGCCCCTAATATGTAATAGACATTGGCTACAAGCAGAAGCAGTTGGCTTTCCACAATCAGAACATGGTATCTGAAATTTTGATTTTTAATAAAATTGGTATCCTTCAGGCCTAATACAAGCTCTCCCACAAACCTTTTTGGTATTGCAAAGAAATAGGCAGAAATATTCACCAATCATTCTATTTTTTTAATACAATTTCAAAAGATTAATTAATAAATAGTTAATGTTTTAGTTTTTTGCAATAGCTAGTGCACTTTGATAAATAGTGCTTTAGCAATAACTCTATAATCTAAAAGTGAAAGGTATAGAAAATAATTAATTAAAAAAAAAATATATAAGTAAATAATAGTGTAACAATAAGAGTTAATATTATGGTTAGAAAAACTAGAAGTGATAAGAAAAATACAACATGTGATCATTATGGAAAAACTTTAGCAATTCTAATAAACTTCGTGAGCACCTTAAAAAAAGAATTTATATAAACCTTAAACTATTAATTAGGAAGCTATTCGAGATTCTAATCAAACTACAAAGCCAGTTTCTGAAGCATTACTAATTCTTCCTGTATTATCTAATAATGAAGAGAATAAACATGATCAAAGAGGAAAGCAAGCTCCAATCTCTATTCTTAGTAGAGATTATATTACTAATAAGAAGGCTGAAAGGTGGGTAAACCCAAATGCTCGCAAGCCTGGAGAGCATTTTAGAATATGAGAAAAATAGTTGGTAAAAAGATAGAAAGAACTTGGTTTAGGTGTTGAACCTTTTCTACCTAATGATCTAGATAGAGTCAAACTCTTTTTCATGATCTTGAACAATATAACGAAGATGTAGTTAGACTACTTACAAAAGAGAAGTTAGATAAATATAAAAAGATATCAGAACCTAAAGCTGGTCCTGGACCTAGAATGCAATTCTTTAGAAAAGATAATAAATCTAAAAATTTGATTAATGAAGAATTTAGTTGCTTAGAAGAAATTACTGATAAACAAAAAAGAGATCTAGAATTTAGAGAGCAAGAAGAATTAAGTATAGCACTTAAAAGAAGGGCTATAGCAGTATATCATGCAAAAGTTTCCAGATCTTACCCTGATAATAGAAGTAATATATGAAAATTTTTAGAAAGCTGAAGAAAGCAATTTAGAGATTTACTTGAGAAAGAATTTGATAAGCACGAGTAATTCAAGTTTGCTTTATGCTCACTAGATAAATTTCTTTTAGATGATAAGCATGGAAATAAAAACAAAAAAAGTTTAAGAAGTGATTAGTTGCAAAATAAACAAATTATAGTTTACAATCGGGCTGAAATTGATGACTATTTAAGCAATGCTTTTGAACAAATAATATATCTAGTAGAGAAGAGAGGAGGAAAGTCTAATACTTAAAAATATATTTGGGTAGTAACACTATATCTAGCAGAACAATTTGAA